GCCGTTGCCATCCGCACGGTCGGCCCCCGGAACTTTTTGGGGACTCATGGTAGATTTGTTTTTGTTTTGGTAAAAATGGTAAATGTATAGCGCTTTTACTAGTCCCGCCTAGGGACCCCAAAGCGCTATACAAGGTATATATATATATATATCTAAAAGCTATAGGCGGTAGGTGAAGTGTCTTGCCCAAGGACACAACGACCGAGACTGTCCAAGCCGGGGTTCGAACCGGCAACCTTCCGATTACAAGGCGAACTCCCAACTCTTGAGCCACGGTCGTCGGTTTTCCTGGACTTTTGCTCCTTGTCTTTTGGTTGTTCCTCCCAGCTGTGTTCCCCTTCTGTCTCTAATTCCTTGATGACTCCCTCAGTGTATTTAAGCCCAGTGTGTCTTTGTGTCAGTGTCGCGTTGTTAACGTCTTCTACCCTCACTCCCTCTGTGTGTTCTGTTTGCCAGCCTGCCAACCTGTCTAGTTATTCGGTACTCCTAGTTTAGTTAGTGTTTTTCTGTTCTGCTTCATCCCAGCAATAAAACTGTGTATTTTGAGTTTCTTCCGCTTCCTTGAGTCCTGCATTTTGGGTCCTCTCCTCCTGCCTGCCTACACACAGACATGACAATTTGTCAGGTTGTTTTTAAAAATGAGAATGTTATTTTCCTTCAGTAACATTTTCTATTGTCACAAATAATCAAAATATTTTTGTATTGTGTCTCTTTTCCACAGTTTTTCTTCTGGTTTATTTTACAGCACATCTCTGATAGAACTGAAAACAAAACAATTTTTACAGCACACACCTGCACAATCACTTAATCTGTGACATGTTGTTCGGTTACTGACGAATTTTCACAACCAGCAGTGATATTTGTCCAATGTAACATGTTTCTCTGTCAGATGGACCACACTGCTCTCTCTTTCAAGTTCCTGTCAGTAGCCTTGCTGCAGATAATCAATAACCTGACTCATGAAGACTAGAAAATGAAAACTTATTGGTTGTAATAGCTGTGTTCTTCCACAGGGCAGAGCTGTGCACACTAAAGGGAAAACATTTCCCTGCAGAGCTTTTAGCTGATGAACTTTTACTAAAAACACATAACTGAGACAAAAGTGAGTGGCTGTCAGGACTCCTGTCTGAGATTCTGTTTACTTTTAACCAGGAAAACTGAGATGACGGGAAAACGTCAGCACCGACAAACAGACACACACACACACACACACTACTTTATTCTTCACCTCCAGCTTCATCTGGATAGTTCACACTGAACAAGAACAAACTGTCTTGTTAGTGATTATTAATGTGTAACTTTATTCAAAAACATTTCACAAAGTGCTCTAAAAGATTAGAAAAAAACTGAACACTAAATTCAAATCACAGAGAAACAGTTTCAGTTGATTTGTGAAGTTATTTGATTGTAATAGTCATTTGGCCCAAACGTCAGATTATATACAGACAATACATATATAGTACCCAATGTACATTATTGTACTAACCTAAATCACTAAACGCCCTAAAGTTATACTAGAAATTCTAACATAAAATACTACTCCAATATATGAAGTCAGTGAGAAGTAGAAATAATAGCACTTCGATTACAAGTTTTGAAAAATCCTTGCAAAACACAATCCTTGCGTCCGTTTGAATACAGAGAAAGGTGTTAACATTTTTAAAGAGCTTTCAATATTATTCCAGATTTGTGGGCCTCTACATGGTCACACTGTAGACACAAAATAATAAAAAGAAGGTGAAATCGAGGTGTTTCCTGCATGTGGACGTCTTATGGCCTGAGCTCTTATTGGCTGTTGTGCATGTGAGTTATACATGACTCCCTGTGCAGACAATGTGGGGTTAATGAACACCGGCTACTAATGTCTGCCTCATTTCCCTGATAAATTCTTCTCTCCTCTCTCAGCTGTTCATTAAACACCTGACTGGAATCCATGTTCCTGCTTTCTTCAGATTCCTGCTGCTCATTAGCTAAATTTGATTCGGTTCAGTTCAACTACTGAGTAAAACAACGTAAAACCACACCGACAGCTCTTTATTTCACTATTTTTCTTTTTCTTTTCTACTTCCTGTATTTAATTTAGAAGTAGGATTGTGTTTTATTTGTGCATTAATTTTAGTTTCTAAAATGTTATCATCTTTACCCAAAGACAAAAGGAGGGAGGAGGAGAGGAAGCCATCGATGTCTTAAACTGCGTCACTCATTTCTTTGTGTTCTTAACTTCTACTGTAAAAATAATATATTCAGTAAACCACATTTAGCTGTTTTGGCTCTTTGGTGTTATGGAGTCACAGCCTCTGTGAGGACAGGGTTTTGGGGGTAGGTGACAGGACGAGGGACTGTTCAGAGTTGCATGTAAGCCCTTAACTCTATTTTCTGGTTTTAATTCTGGATAAATTCATCCAGAATGGCATCTGGATAAATTCATCCAGATGGCATCCATCCCAAAGTGGGATGGATGCCATCTTCCTCAATAAGACCAGGATTTTCCCTGAAGGTTTGCCAGTTATCTAAAAATACCACCTTGTTTTCTGAACACCACTCAGATAGCCTCAAAGTCTCACTGGGGAGGGGACCAGAGAAAACTACAGTATCTGACATTGTTCTGGCAAAGTTAAAAACAGATGCAATACTAATTTTAGTGACCTCCAATTGCTGTAACTGGATATCATTGCTGCCAATGTGAATTACAATCCTTCCAAATCTACATTGAGCCAACAGTCTCAGATTAGCCTCAGCGTCAGGTGCTGTTGCTCCTGGAATGCATTTGATCATAGTTCCTGGAGTCTTTAGCTGCACATTTCTGAGTGCAGAGTTACCAATAACACCAGTTGTTAGCATTCTTCCTCACTTGAGGACCCCTCCTCGGTAGTTGTTGGATTAAGAATGGTCTTTAAATTTTTATATATTTCCTTCTTTTGTCCATTCAGTGTTTTCTGTAGTTGTTTAATCGTGTCTTCATCTGCCAGCCGATGAAGGAGAGGTCCACAGTAAAGTCTGAGAAAGCAGAAAATCACAGTTAAAGTTAATGAAGTGGGTTAAACATCTGTGGAGCACATCATTAGTCTGGTGTTTACCGTGCACACTGAGGTTCTGGTAGAGGTGAACACAGCAGCTGGTTCAGGTGGAGGCTCTGCCTCATGCAGCACTGCCATTGGCTGAAAGCATGAGCCACACGTGGCTGCCAGTTACGCACAACTTCATCCTTTAAAGCTTTCATCTTCCTCTCAAACTCGTCCTCTACAGAGAAAATAAGACAACATTTTGGTGCCAAAGGACCAGAGACCAGCAGCAGTTTCTCTTCTTGTTCAGACTGATGTGGAAGCATCAGTGCTGCTGTTGTCCCACAAATTCTGTTTACAGGAAATCTGACTGCTTCTTACACCAATAAATGCATTTCATTGTAGATATCCATCATGTTACCCAGTGAGACTAACCTGGACCATCGGGCTCACACACAAACCACAGCAGGAGAGCATGGAGGCAGTTTACAGTTTCAGGCTTTGGGTGGTGTTGTAGCTTCTTAAACCAGAAAACAGTCACACAGACTGGCAGCTTCAGCTGGTCGGGGATGTTTTCTGATGTCTGAACCTGCAGAGCTTCTTCAAACACCCTGCGACGCGAATGCTCAGGAGCCTGCACAGATAAGATACCACACAGATAAGATGCTCACATGTACCACAGAAACACGTCTACTTGTCAGAGTAATTAAACACATATTTAATGATTAACCTCAGTACCTCATTCAGACACTGTAGTTTCAGTTGTTTCTGTTCATCACTGCTGGGAAGTATTGATGGGACACGGTAGTCTTTGATCTCTTCTCCATCCCTGCCATATTCAGTAATCTCACCTCCTGTTAACAGTCCATAGAAGTACTGTCTGATGCGGTAAGCAGCTGTGTAACTACTGTGCTGTGAAAAGTCCTCCACAAGTGGGGTCAGCATCATTGTCTTCCAATCCACAACACTTGTGACAAAAGTGGTGAGTTCTCCACGCTCAACTTTTTCACACACCCATGGTGGCAACTTCGAACTTGTTTTTTCTGGTTTAACATATTTTTTAATGGCGAGTTTGAATGTTTGGTTCTCTTTTTTACCAACATGATTTAAAGCTTCACTCAGAGCATGTTCTCTCTTCTGTGAATTATTCAGGCCATCCAGGTTCACTTTACTTAAAAAGCCGAGCATACCATCCAGTCTTTTAATGCTGTACTCACCAGGTGAAGAGGATTCCTTTGCAAAAGCACCATTGTCTTCTAATCTTGAATAATCATTTCCTGCTATTGAAGCAAAGACTGGCATGAGAGCAGGGTCTAATTTAAAATGCTCACAAAACTTTGAACGTGTGTAGATTCTAGCAGGAATTTTTCCATCCTCTTCTTTTTTCCACTCAAAGTTGTCGAGATTAAGGAAACCTTTGTGCACATCAAAGATGTAAAAATCTTTGTCAATAGACAGCACAGCACATTGTTTCTGATTTGCCTCGGAAACAACCTCAGGGTCTGCCTCTCCTAAACACACTTTAAACTCTATGCCTTTTTCCCTTAAGATTTCTATGAAGACGTCTTTGACCAGAGGTGGTAAGACATTATATGCCTCTGGTAAAGTGCCGTCAGGCTCTGTCTCTGCTATTGTCTTTGCTTTTTTCAGTTTATATTTTAGAGGAGACACATTGTGTTCATGCTTCTCGGGCCCTGAGCCACCATCCAGGATGACGTACGGATTGACTTCACAGTCCTGCAGAGTCTTAAAGAACTTGCAGACCTCATGTTTGAATCCAGGATAATCCCCTCCACAGCGCTGGTCCAGCTTTGGATCGGATGTATAATACAAAGAATAGTACAGAGCATTACCATCAATGATGAGACCTGTTTTTTCTACCTTAACTTCTTTGCAGAGACACAAATCATCTATCATTTTCTTTAATTTTGAAACCTCCATGATTCCTTAAAGTGTGGATGAAGATGAGCGGTGGTTATTGTGATAATGCCTTTCTGTCTGCGGATATTTGTACACCTACTAGAGTCCACACCCACACCGACACAGCGAGTCAAACCTGTTTTGACTAATTTAACATACCTAACTTACTCTTTTGGTTTCATTTCTTTATTCTTCATGTTGTGATTTTCTGTTTCATTTCACTTTGTGGAGCAAAATCAAATGTGTTTCATCAACTTTCCAGCTGTTAATAATGCAAAGGTACTTGTGTCCATCACAAACGCTCAACTCTGCCATGAACTGGAAACTGCTGCAACTCAAGCATCACCATCCACAGTGAAGCCAGTGTTATATAACCATGGACTGTGAGCATGCTGATTAAGAAAGAAGCAACTGTTCCAAAATCGACATCTTGAAGCCCGAGTGAAAGTCGCAGCTCCTCGTCATGGATGAGTGAAATGTCTTTTGGAGAAAGATTAAATGTGTCATGGAGAGTGGAATGAGAGGACTCAGGTGCGAGACTCCTTGCGAAGTGATGGTGAATTTATTTACAGTGAAAAAACGGCAACAGTTCGACTCCGTAATCCAAAAGAGCAGTGAAGTGACAAGGTGACTTCTCCCAGCGGTGACAGTGCAATATGAACACCGGTGTACCACAAGGCTGTGTGATGAGCCCTTTACTCCCTCTTCACCCACGACTGCAGACCTGCCGATGGTTCTAACATTCATTCATTAACATCTACATTAAGGGGACGGCTGTGGAGCGTGTGAGCAGCTTCAAGTTCCTGGGAGTCCACATCTCCGAGGATCTCATCTGGACGACCAACTGCTCCAAGCTGGTCAAGAAGGCTCACCAGCGCCTCTATTGTGCATAAATAGTGAATTGTCCTGACACAATATTGCATTTCACTTCTGTTAATACCATGGTACATTGACAAAAACATGTACTTTTATTCACAGGGTAAAACAGGTTTTTTGTATCACTAATTGCCCAGTAGGATTACAGCATACAGTATTATTGTCACTGCTACGTTTCTGTAACAAACCAGAAATTACTTCCACTACTAATTAATTACTGTTGAGCTCAAAGGTCCTATTAATAAACAGTTAACAAATGTGTATTTATGAAGACGATTTGTGAGACTGGTAAACTTACCTTTGTTCGTATGATGGTCTGTCGTTCTACACGGTGCATTTCAAGGTCCTGTACCCATCCGTCGGTAAACTGTACCCGGGCTTGTTGCAGTGATCTGAATTTACTAAACTTCATGAGTGTATGCACTCACTCCAAGAACCGTATGATTATAAATATGAGCGTGGAACCGAATATGTGTGGAACCGGAGAATGAACGTTTTGAGGTGCTGCAAATGCTTGCGTTTGATGCATTGCTTTGATTGTTTTGCCACCAGTGCCCGGCATGCAATGCGCGAAAGTCATGTGGTCTGTCAATCTCTATAGGGCTTTGGAGCGTGATGTCACAGGAGGGGGGCCACGCCCCCTCCCGCCATGACAGTAGGCCAAACAAAGCACACGGAAGCAACAGCTATGGTTCGTATGTGCTGTGTTGTCGGTTGCAACGGCAGATCACATGATAGGGAAGGCAAGAAGCTGGAAAATTGGAGGCAACGGGAGGGATCTCATGTATCCGATATTACTAAACGAAGACGTCAGGCTTGGATTGCAGCGGTCAGCCGAGCGCATATCGAGTTCTCT